CACCATATGTTTCTGCAGCAAACGATGACTTTCAACAGCCTTGTTCTTTTGATTAAATAAAAAAAGCAATGCGTGCCGCAAATGTTCTTTTTCAGGCACAAAACTTGACATGATCACTGAACGATAAAACAAAGACGCTAGTTTTTGACGGATTCAACTTGTGTGTGTTTGTAGTTTTAAATGTCAGACGAACAAAATGATGTATGTGTCAAATTAATACGCTGCGTACTTTTCGCTGGCGACATCTCTTAGTTAAACCGGAAAAACTTATGCATACACTTGGTATATAAAGGCGCCGATTCAGCATTCGAATCCAAGTTCTCATCTCAAGCAGAAGATCATTCACTTAAGTGATGAAAGTGATGAAAGATAGAACAGTGTTTTCAAGCGTTGGCTATCGCATCCTTCAGCTGAAACACGCCACATCCTTCGGCTGAAATACGTCGCATCCTTCGGCTGCATAAGCCGCTGACCGGCCGAATAGGCCTCCTAGGTCGATTAAAAAGTCACCATTCCATCTCTATCATCCGACTAAACAAGCCGTCGACTGAGAAGTCACGGCATTCTCATCTTTCTGTTTCAGAAACCGGCAATTCAAAAGTGGCGCAACGAGAGAATATTTCATTCCGCCACAATCTTTGACAGGAACCAATCAGATTATGAGGAGACACTAAACTTGGAACCATGTCTAGTCAGCAGTGTTCAGATGCGTTTACACGACTACACTTATACGGCGACCAATCAACGACATTCTCGCATAACCAGCAAATCGGAGGACATCTACACAGCATACATAAATACACATGCATTTGCAACATTACACACTCTCTGTACACACATACATGACTATATATCAGTTTCACACATTTAATGATACTAGAGTCACACACACGCAAATTTAAAGAGTGGTTCAGAGCCTGTACATATTGTATATTTGATAAAAATAAATAGATTTTAGATATATTTTATTATACTCGAACCGAAAACCTTCCACACATCCACACATCTATCACAAGCATCCATATATTCACATTTGCGCAACGTATACAACGCGTAAACATATACATTTTCATACTTTTAACCTCTTAGCTGCTGAACGCCATTATAGTGCTTTCGCGTATGTTATCTTTTATGTTTTTTTCAAACTTTACATGAAAATGTATAAATAAATTATAATTTATTCACATATAACTCTGATGTAATTTTATAGTGGAAAGCGTCACCAGATACAAACCGCAGTATATTATTTACGCGCAATCCGCGTCGAAAAGACCATGGAACCGTGTCATATAGAGATACAGTGCCGCGAAAAGTTCAGCACTAACTAAGAAGTTAAGAATGTTGTCTTCATGATTATTGTCATCGTCATCGCCGTCTATACCGTCTATATCTAAATTACAATTGCAATTTTAACCGCTATGAGGCGGCAGCGATAGCGATGAAGTCTTCAGAATGATGTACGCATATCGAAAGTGAGTAAGCAAAAGAATGAAGAAACGAGTGAGATAACGAAAAAACAAGTAAGAGAGTGGAAAAGTAAATAAGACTAGTAAAAGAAAGAATGAGAGAGCGAAAAAACGAATGAGAGAGCAGAAAAACAGATGAAACAGCGAAAGATAGCATGCATTTTTTTTTGCTCTTTCTTTGCTTGGCATTGGCATTTTGCGATGATTTGATGAAGATTAACAATAAATATTTCACGTTGTTTATGCTGTCTAGATTTTTTCAATGTTTTGATTAAATGAGATCGACGATGTGTGCGTACATATATTTATATGCGTGAGAATGTGCGCGCGCGCACGAACGCACGCACCCACGCACACACATAATACGAAGGTCGTGCGATAAGTCAAAAAAGCAATAAAATCACCTATTTCCCGGAAAATTTTTTTCACTTTTCGACGTAGTCTTCTTGGAGCTCTACACATTTAGTCCAGCGGTGTTCCAATTTTTTTATCCCTTCGGAAAAATAGGAAGTCTTGAGGCCTTCAAAATACGCAT